CCTTCCTCCTGCTCTTCCGGCCTGCTACTCTGTGCTACGCCTGTGCTTACCTTGCTCCCGAAGACCTGGTCCCTCTCGGTAGGGTAACAAGGGAAACGTGTTCAGTGCAGATCAGTGAGTAAGCACAAGCCCGCCTTGTTTCAGTGCCTATGCTTCTGGTAGGAAGGCAATATTAAAGAGTGAGCGAGCGAGTGACTAAATGAATACACAAACAAATACTAATAGCAAACACTGGCATAGTTATGCTATAAAACTAAGTTACCTATTTAAATGCTACATGTATATTAACTATGAAATTATACAGTTTTCCTCCAGAGCCAAAGGGCCCCACTGAGGGGAAGCCTGCATCCAGAAATACAGCTTTCTGCTTCTGACTGCTATGCTTTCTACTTCCAGTAAGAATTGCCAAAATGTGTGACACTGGCATGCCTTAAGGCCTCTTGTGTTTAATTTGGCTGGAACCAATCACGTCTATATAAACTAAGCATGCATAAACCAGGACAGTGTCAGGAGCAAGCCTAAAAAGGGTCACTTCAGAGGAGCAAAGCCCTTCCCTCGTGACTGCACTGACCTCTCGTGGGACTCCAGTCCTCGCTCAACGCATCACAAAACTGGGCAGATGGGTAAGATGGGTAGAGGTTCACCACAGAGGTCCAGAATCCGGTACTTGGGGACTAGGAATCAGCACGTGGAGGCCAGACACCAGTACTTGGCACCGGAAGTTAGGAGTTGGGGCCGAGACAGCTACTGCCTTTTTTTTTTTTTGGTTTAGTTTTTCTTGGAGAAAAATATCATAGTGGAGAAACTCTTATGATAGGCAATTATCCCTTCAATACAGTGGGCCTAAAGACTGTCATGATAAATGAACTCAAAGGGCCGAAGATGTCATAATCCCAGTGCGGAAGAGCTGAGGAGTCAGGCCAAGGCCACAGCCCGGCCGGCTTCACGGGAAATGTGACATCATTGAATTACACCGGGAGGTGCATGTTCCCCTCCCCTCCCCACACACCCCCAGTTCTTTTTTCAGTGAAACCTTTTTTTTTTTTTTGTGCTATTGTTCCACCTCCCCCACCATTTCTGTCTGCTACCTTCTAGTTTTTTTGTGGGTATTTAGTCATTTTTATTTCGACTGTTCAGATATACTGCATGAAGCAGATATTGACCTTTGGGATGATAAAATACCTAATTTCAAATCCTGGTTATGTCATTTATGAGCTCTGTGACTTTGGGTAAATTAGCCTAAGTCTGTTTTTCCTCATTTTTAAAGCGAAAATTGGCTGATTTCTAGAGTTGTTCTGTGGTTTAAATGACACAAAATGGAGGAGAGCAGAGGGGCAGGGGACATAGCTCAGTGCCCAGTACATAGTAAGTGCTCAGTAAATGATGTCAACCATTAGAATGTCAGGGGAAAAAGAGCTCTTCATGCCTATATCTCCCTACTGTATCTTGCAGACAAAGCCACAGCAGGTCCTTTTGCTAATACATGCATGTATCCATATCACAAATAAAACAGATAAGGTATGCTGTGAATAACTAAGAACCACAGTTATAATTTTGGGCAAATGGATTTCACAAACCTGCCAAGAACAACACCTGATCTTTAAAGCCTCACTTGCTACAGGGAATGTATAAGGAGAAAAATCAGGCTGTAAAATAAACATAGCCAGATCTTTTTTCCAGAAAGCCATTTTAGTAAGCTCAAGTCCCCTAACTTCAAAAAATCTGGACAGAATTCCATGACCCTAACAGACCATCATGCTTGGTGAAGGAGATCATGCTTGGTGAAGTGCAGGGTCGGTGAAGAAGGGGAAGGCCCTCAACGATATGATTGGCACAGTGGCTGCCAAGATGGGCTCAGGTGAAGTAAGGATTGTGAGGCTGGCACACGACCAGGCAGTGTTTCATTCTGTTGTACTTGAGGTTGCTATGAGTCGGAGATGACTTGATGGCGCCTAACAACAATAGCCTATTTGCTGTAGAGAATTTAGGAATTATTTGTTTTAGTATGTCAAAAGTATAAGCACATAATTTGTGATAGTGGACATTTTTGTAATTAAGGAAATAAAAGGTTGCATTCACTTCAACTTTGAAATGAGTCCTAACCTATCTTGGATAAGTCTGGTTAAATTCATGGACTTTAAACAAATAAAAATAATGACAATGGACAAGCATCAGTTTAATGACCAGCCAAGGATAAAAACCAACTGCTCTTGTGGTCCTCTCCATAGTATTATTTGGCATGACCAGGAGACAAACCTGTTTTGTTTCTAAATATAAATCAACTGCTGAAAGAATGTACAGGTTGCAGAATTGTATCCTCTGTGCTGTATTAATAATTCAAAGCAGCAGCTTTCATTTTAAAAGCTCCTGCCGTATTTAAAAAAAAGAAAGAAGAAGAAGAAAGGAATCCACTCTTCCAGCATCTTCTGTCAGTTTTTCAGAGGCAAGCAAGGGGATGACCGAACAAACACAGACACAGTCTGTTTCTTTTGCCACAAAGAAACCATGCTAACATGGCAACACGGGTTCTGTTTTATTTTGTTTCATATTTCACTTAATTTGGTGGATGCTGAATTTATTTGAGTCCTATTTATTTGCTTTCCTTGGCTTATGAAGCATTCAAGTGGGTTTGCATTTTTGCCACTTCTTAATTTGTTTGTAAATCATTTTGAGGTGACTGCCCTTTAAATGCAAAAATATTTTAAAAAGAGTGGTGGGTCAGAAAAAAGAAATAATAATTACCTTGTCTCACATATTTTTGTAATTTTTTTCACAAAAAATTTCCATGTAAAATGTTTAGCTTGTTCTATGAAGAGGAGACGTTTTCCCTCATGTAAGCCATAATTGCATTTTGTCAAGAAATCGTTAGCTAAGGAATAGAGCTTTCATTTTTAAGGGACTCTATTTGGAAGTAGTAGAGTCTTGGTCTAGGAATTAGAGGTCTTTTTTTGGGGGGGGGCGTAATCTATGTAAGGGAGCTCTGGTAGCATAGTGGCTAAGGCACTTGACTGCTAACGAGAAGACTGGCGGTTCAAACCCACCAGCCACTCCTTGGAAGGAAGATGGGGCAATCTACTTCCGTAGTGATACTGCCTCGGAAACCCAAGGAGGGGTCGCTATGAGTCGGGTCTGACTCAACGGCACATAACAACAACAATCTACGTAAACCTCCTTCTGCGCTCATTAAAATAAAATTGAAAACCACCACAAAACCAGGTACTATACTGAGAAGAAACTGTGGATTTCATATTCAATGACTTGGCTTTTTGTCTTTCTAATATCTTTTTCTAGTTTTTGGGCCGAGAAATGCTTTTCTTATTCATGAAAACAGATATTGACAATGTATAGCTGCATTTTTATTACAAACCCAAATGGAAAACATTAAAGTATGTATTTCAATTTTGAAGGTCTTTGATTCTTCAGATGTATGCAAAGAAAAATGTCACCCCAAACCTCCTAAGTAATGGTGAATGGGAAGTTTCCTGTACTTCCCCTACCTCTTTTGGGAAAGGCAGAAGTTGGCAGGAGAAGAGGGGATATCAGTCCATAGTGTGCTCAAATACCTCAGAGTTTACAATTTCCTTACTTGCAGTGTTGACCCAAGGAGCTCTGGTGGCACAGTGCCTAAGGCACTTGACTGCTAAACAAAAGTTGGTGTTCAAACCTACCAGCTGCTCTGTGGAAAGAAGATGGGGCAATCTACTTTCATAAAGATTTACTGCCTCAATTTTCTCCTGTTGCAGAAGCCCAAGCTGCCTCTGGCTAAGCGGTTTCTGTGGGAGAGAAGGGAAGAAATTCTTTGATTGCACTGTTAACTTTCAAGATGAGCCAATCAAATCCCCATGTCCCAGTTATGCAAATAATGTGTTATCAGTTTAAGTGAGGGGCCACTGCAATACGACCATATCTTTAGCCTTTGAAAATAGACCACCTTTTACAATTGTGGAGTGGCAAGTGCAGCTGCCCTTCTGACTTTGGCTACTCTTGGACATATTTGTCTTTCCCTTGGCTGGCTTTCACCAAAGCTACAATGTGGGCACACACTATTGTATTATTCTTAAGGACTCAATTTCCTGGGTCACCTTCATCAAAGTCTGCTTTACAAATCATGCCACTGGTTAAGAAATTCTATTCCATAAAACTCCATTTTATATTCTTGGTACTCATTTTTCTAATTAGTCATCACTGACTATTAGGGTTCATTGATGACTCACAACTATATATCCAACTCATATACCATACTGGTTTAATCCATTTGCATTTTCATATGATTAATTTATACTATGTTTGATATAAGAAAGAAAATGGGAAATCTGTGCAAATATTTCATTAGTCTTCAGTTATAAAGGGCAAGCCAGTAAGTATAAAGGAAACTATTAATCCAAATAAGTAAAAATTGTTAATCAGTCTCTCTCT